GAGCCTTGCAGCCGCAAGATGGCAGGATTCGATGTCCCGTGGACAGAAATCTTGAAATTTTCTTAACTTCCCACGTTGACTTGTTCATTGTTCATTTTTTGGACAATGTGGAGATAAATGTAAATAAAATCTGTTTCTGGAAAGAAAAGTGGGGGTCATCGAACGTCCAAGATCGTTAAATCCAGGCAAAGCTATAGCAATGGCCATCTCCCCTATCATATTTATTACGGAGAGCGCGCTCTGATGTATGCATGACATGGCGTGTAAATTTGCGTGCGCAGTAAGGATGCGCAGAAACAATTAGCGCGAACGTCCTTAGATCAAGCTCCTGATTATTTGCCATAAAGTTTTTGTACACGAATAAACTCAACAATCGTCAAATTCGTATGTAAGAATTCCAGGTTATAAGTTAAACTGTTAAAATTGTCGATATTGGTCTTGTCTAAGTACAATTAACAAATAAATAACCTTCGACTGTGCTGTTCTGTTGTAAAATACGCAGGAAGCGGTAGAGCACTCCCCCTCCCCCCTTGCCCATTTTTTCCACTTCACGCCTACTCCCTCGGCAAATATTTCCTCGCCCCAATCCGCCACAGTTGCCAAATCCAAGATGGCGGCCTAATACCAAAATGTGCACTCGTGCGTCCAAAATACGCATGCACTGCAGGCTACCTTATGACGTGTATGCAATAAACCCAGACGGCTTTTGCAGGCCCCAGCATTGTTGTTCTGACTACCGAGCATTTTTCTTGTTGAGTGTAATTCGCTTAAGTTATAGATAAACATGGACCACGGAAATGTTCGAAAAAGCGAATACAGCGAAGACGGAATGAAAATAGAGCAATGAGTGGATAAGCGAGAGTTGGTCGGGTGGCTTCAGATAAAGGATCGGGCTATCAGATTCTGACGATTCTGACTCCGAGTTGGATGAAGCTATAGCTATCTGATCAAGCTGGTAAAAAATCGAGTCAAGAGAAATGAAATGTTCTGTGAAACTTGGGAACTTGACAGCGATAATAGGGATATTTTACTGGGGCATTTGTGTGTGATATTGCAGCATCACTTGTTAAAAAGTGGTAGTATTCATCTTTCAAAGTATAGCTGTTTTAAAAGTGCTGGAAACTGATGCCAGCCTCCTTAACTTTGTATCCCGGCAACTGACAACTTACGCACTCGGGTTGTGACTGATATATCCATTGTCATTGTAGATATTGATGAATGCAGCATTGGCAACCACAACTGCGATGCGAATGCGACCTGTACAAACACTGCTGGTTCTTATGATTGTACTTGCAAGGAAGGGTTTGTTGGAGATGGACATTCATGTTCAGGTTTGTTGACTTTCACGTTTTGAATAACAGAAACGGGACCTGGGGCCCGTTTCTTGAAAGCCCCGAAAACTTTTCGGGCCCGTAAAGCCATTTTTAGTTCATCTCTATCTAAAAACGCAGAGGTGTAT